GGTGGGTGAGTGGGATTCTAATACACAAGATACATCACCAGGAACAATATTCCCTCCCCCACAATGATAGCAGCTAAAGGAAAACAGGACTTCAGGCGCCAGCGAGACTCTGCCTGGTATTTGCCCTCTCGGCACACAGCAAGGACAGACTTCCCAATGACAAGTCCCTACAAGTGGGGTTCGACTGCCAGTGAGACTGCGAAGAGGGGAAAGAGGGTCTGGATGTTTTGTTTTCCGCACAGCTTGAGTCTGGTGTGGCCTCGATGCTAGGGACCCCAACCTCACTGGCTCTGCAGCGCCTCAAGGGGACACTCCTGTAGTGACTGTGTGAGGGCGCCAGGCCCCGTCCTTCCTTGTCTGCAGAAGCCCAGACTGTCCATTGTATTTCAACAAATGAAAGCCTTGCACTCGCCAGCTTCAGGCGACAGGCGGAAATAAGAACCTGGCGATCCATGCTGGCGTTCACACCAGTGTGCATTCAGTAGGTTCCACCTACACCGTGCAGTGTCCTCGAGGGACTCAGTGGACCCAGAGACACGCTGATGCCCCACAGTAGGTTTTGGAGACCCGTTCTTCAATCCAAGTGGCCTCCCGCCCCGCTGATATCGTGCATTTCTCTCCCTGAATACTCATTAAATCCCTTAAGGGCAGCTGAAAGCAATCTAGGGGCTTCAGCATGTGTAGGCAACATCTACATAAGGACGCTGCAGACACGGAGATTTTATGAGATGTGGGTACTGTCAGTAGAGGACCCAGAGGGGAGGGGACAGAGGGAAGGTCCTAGGGGTGGATGGGGAGTGATGTGTCGGGTAGCAGAAGCTGGCCATGCCAGGCCCACCCCTAGGTGATACCCAGCCTGGCCTGGGTGTCTTTCTCCAAGGTTCTGCTCGCCCCCTCCCCCCAAAGCTTGGCTTCCCTGAGTCACACGGGAATCACGATGGTGTCTGAGGACTCCGAACAGTGTGAAGAAGGCACAAACCTGCACAGAATACTGCAGATTTCACACGCAGAGACACAACTGCGGGAGCACAGAATAAAGGGCAGTTTCAGCAGCTGAGAAGATGCAGCATCCAAGGATAGGGTCCAGTGGAGCCTGCAGGATAGAAGCCTGGTGGGTCCCAGTGCTCCTTTTCCTTGCAGCTCTGAAACATGAAATCCCCAGCAAGAAATTCCTACATATTTCTAAAAACAAGCAAACAAAAGAACAGACCTTTAAAAATCTCACTTATGACTTTGTAAATGCTAATAACTGTATTTGGTAAGGGCATAGTGAAATAGACATCCGTACATTGCTCTATCTTTTAGAAAAGGCAATTTGTCCACACACATAAGGAATCTAATTTGTCTTAGGAATTTGAGTTTTGTCCATTTTAAACTAAATTATTTCACTTTTTCCTCACAGCAGTCCCAGTTTAATAACAAATCAGTTAGGCTTGTCTTGAAGCCTTCTCACCATTGCTACACAGAACTAGTTTATTATTCACACTACCAACTACCCATTTAATACATTTCTAAGACTACACTAGATTGAACACACATACACATTCACACACAAACCCCTCACACAAAGTGATGTTTTGGAATATATTACACTTGTATGGAATACAATACATTAAAAAAATTTAACAAATTACACAGTTTTAATTTGTTCAGTATCTTTCCAAACTGCGTGTAGTTTACGAAATAGATTGCTCTTCCCAAAGAAGTAACACATCCCTATCCGACCTCTTCCCCGAGGTGGCTTAACCCTCGACCCTGGGGAGAACCTCTGGCAGACTAGTGGACTCCATGGCCGGCTTCCAGAAGCCAGCGGGGAGGCACCGCCTGCAGAGAGGCGCCTGACAGGTTCAGGCGGAGAGGCCCTCAACTGGAGGGTGTGGGCAAGGCTGAATGTGTGTGCAAGGATCGGCCGCGGGGGCGGGGTGTCCACACAGGCGGGTGTGCAAGATTAGTGCACAGGATCCGTGTCCACATAGGGAGGGCCAGAGAAAGGAGGGACCTCGCACGAAGAGCCTTTCCTTGCGGGGCGAGTGAGCGCAGGAAAGGGTTACCCGGGCGCGTCCTGCTGTGTGTGGAGGTGGAGCCAAGGCGGAGTCCTCACTGCTCAGGTCCTAGCAGCTTACAGAAGACAAAAAAAAAATGGAATCTGCAAATAATAAAATTTTGTTTCCTTCTCGCCTACGATTGACTTACGCATTAATGTCAGCCCCGGTAAGATTTCATAAAGAGGGGACGCGGGCTAGCCTGCGGGCTGGACAGTAGGCAGGGCCTGGGCTTGGAGCTCATGGTCGTCAGGACCCTTATTCACAGAATAAGGGAGCGCTCAGCGGCCAGATCCTTTGTTCGTGGACCGCAAGTCTGCCAGGACCCGGCTCGGAGCGCGGCTGCCAGGACCTGGGACCAAGGTTCCGAGCGCACAGCTTCCAGGACCCGGCTCGGAGCGCGCGGCCTCCAAGGACCGCCCCGAGCGCATCTCCAGAGTCTTCTCAGGCGTCGCCTCCGCCGCAGCTGTCGTC